CGGGTGGAAGCCCGTCGAGGGCCAAGGCGCGTGGACCAAAGCCGAGCACGAGCGGTTCCTTGCCGCCATGGAGGTGTACCCCCAAGGGTCCGTGGAAGAGCATCGCCGACATCGTCAAGACGCGCACCGTGCGCCAGACGCAAACGCACGCACAAAAGTACCGCGAAAAGCTCGCGCGCCGCCAGCGCGGTCTCCGCAACAAGCACATGATCCGCCACGAGATTCTGAGCGCACTCGCGCCCAAGGAAGAAGCGTTTGACGTCGTGCCGCTCAAGGAGGAGCAGCGACTGACGCTGTCGCTGACAAACCTCCCGGCCAGCGCCATGCCGCCACTCTCGGTCTGCCTCGACTTTCTCCTCGACGCACTCGACGACAACAAGAAGCTGGGCGACGACGCGATCGTGGCCGTCGAAGAAGTTTAGACCCCTTCGCGCTGCGAGTATATTTATGGCCGCCCGTTCGTCCCGTCCCGTTTGATGGCAATATAGATGTGTTTTTCTTTCTTCTTCCTTGGCCATGGACTAGAGCTCCGTCGCGCTGAGGTAGATGCCCAAGCGATAGAGAGAAAAACAGCACAGTACGTACTCGTATCAGAGGAGGCTCGGTTGTAGTGCTTCGTGGACCCAAAACGTTGAAGGTGGATTGACAAACAACATTACGCGGCGGCCACAAGAAAATAATGGCGCGAATCATACGCGGCCGAGCACTGCACGGAAGACCACGCTGTGTTCTGATCGCTAGAGCTGATCGCTCTACCTATATATTTACGTATACCATTGACGTATACACGGGGTTGCGCTCCCTGGTGGCGCTGGTTGACTGGCTGGTTGGTGAGTGATTTGGCTACCATTTAATATCAACATCTGGGAAAAAATTGGTCGTTGCCTCAAGGCAAGCCCCGTCCGATGCGGGGGACGCGCGAGGATTACGCCTGGCAGAATCGATTGGTACATCCGCTTCCTTACAACGCACGGCACTTCACTCCCAAAACCCAATGCGAGCAGCTCGTGGAGCAGAGGCTTGGCACGCCTGGGACATGGCTGCCATCATCCGAAGCCGAAAGCTCATGCACGAATTCGCATGACCCTCTCTTCGATCTCTCGCTTCGTGGTGGCGGTGGTTTTGATGCGGCGTGTACATCAGCGCGACGCACGTGTTTGGTTGACAACGGCGTCATGGCCGCGGCACGATGACGTCCGTGGAAAGCTACTCGAGGCCTCCAAAGCCTTAAGTACTACAGTCGGTATGGCTACACGATTGGTCACATGCGACGCAGGAGAAGCAACGTCCAACTGTGCGAGCCTCGTCGCCAAAGTCGCTTGCAAAAGATACTCGTTGTATCAGATCTACCACCGTCGTCGTTGTCGTGATTGAGCAAACAGTGGGTCTTGCACGAAACAAAGTTCTTGCTACTATCCTCCCACCGGCCAGCTTTCTTGCCGGATTGGAAGGATCCGCTTGCAGCTCCCGCGTCTGGTGCCAAGAACAAGTAGGGACAAAAGATTCTACGCAAGCACGGCTCGGTGCAGAAACCAGCGTCGATTCGTCGAAATAGCAGCCCACAGGCCATGGCATTGGTGCCTACTAACGTGCCTTGGAAGACGCGTTCGTGATATGCACGCGACTTTCAACCGCAGCTGCTCGCTACCTCGTCATCGAGGGCCGTGCCACCGATTCGGATCAGCTGCCGGACCCATGTACCTGGTCGACGAGTTCCTACGGTGCGCCTTAGCCATATCCACCCATTCGAAAGCATTGTTTCTGATATACGCGACCACGACCCAACTTGGTTATCCTGGTGTCGTGTCCCAGCCGACGATTGCTCTTTGGCAAAGGAACAAAGCTACGAAACGACACTGATCGAAGGAAGAAGCTTCTGCATGGATGGAAGTAGTGACGCGCGCGCACCGCGTCCGTTCACTGGGCGACGCATACGCTGATTTCGCACCGACCAGCTTGGTTGTTGTTGTTGAATTGGGTCCTCTATTACAATAGATAAAACTATGCTAAATAAAATTGTCGGACTTTCTTCGTTGTGTGTACTCGGTTGAGGGACTTGATTTAGGCAGGCGGAGGCAGGAGCGCAATCCGCGGGACGAGGTGACGTCGCGGCCACTCGTGTTGGGCGAGGAGCCGGAGAAGCCGACGAAGAGCAGGCTGTTCGGGCTCTTGTACGAGGCTGTGGTGCAAGTGCAGTTGAGCGACGCGTGCCGCCTTGACGGCAATCGTCCATGGACTTGGC